CCGGTAAAAGTGTCTGTCCCTGCTTCCACGCCAGATTTGGGCTACCGACCATCTGCATTGCAAGAACATATGTATGCATCAGCCCGTAACACAGGCAATGTGAGGGTGAGCGTGCCTTGCATTCTACTGAGCGTGACCTTCTTTTCATTCCCAACGATTCCTTTCCTAAGAAGAGCACTTTCAACTAGCGCCAAAGCGCTGGTTGCGAACTAGTCACATTTCTTTATCTTGTCTTCCCTTCCAGCTATCGACCTGCCTGTTAGCAAGTTTATGCCAGTTCAGATGCACTCTTGGATATAGGCACCTTCTATCAATATACATCAAGTATTGTCCATGGCCTCCCGTCCGTGGTTGTCAGACTACGCCGTTCTGGATAAAGCCATCGTTTTGCGTCTCGGACCACATTCGATGAACGAGAAATGAGACCCATTTCGTCGATCATGTCAGGTCGTTTTCCTAATATTTCTTGGGGTGGATTACAGCCCTCGCTAAATGCTCACACGAATGCAACACCCTAACGGCTTTTAATGAGCATGCAAATGCAGTACAATGCGATACGAAAGCAAAATACAACTGCAAAATTTGGAAACCCGGGAACACAATTTAAATTGACTGAATCGGCGCAAAATGACCCTCGACGTCGGTGCGCCCAAAACTTCGGCCATCACCATCATGGAGCAGCTGAATCCGGGGAGAAATCAGGTTTTGGGGATAAATTAGCTCAAGCTTGCCGGCTGACCTCCCCAAATGGTTTTAGAAAGTAACGACCGTGCCCGTAGGCGATAACGTTCCGAGGGTCAATTGGTTGATGTTGTTGATTGGAGTTTTAGGGCGCGCCGACTACCGTGGTCATTTCGCGCCCATAACGGCTAAATGACTACCTGCAAAGGAAAATGACTAAAAATATACATTAGTCACAAATTAAAACGGCTGCGTCGTGACAGGAACGTGTCACCAATGATGTCCGATTACGTGAAACCTTAACAGCATGTTGATAAGAAATTTTCGGCAACTTAAAGCTTCCTACACACGGTATGTACTATTCAGGCAGGTGCATATAAAGTGCAAAACTTAACATGCGATACGAACCTGAGGGTATGCTCGACATATGGTGAGCTGTCACATAGCAAATCGGAGAGCGCCAGGGACAGCGCCACCGGGCCAAAGTATCTCAGACACTCGACGCGTAGTATGGGACAGCATACGAGCACATGCTTCACTGTAAGCGTGGCGTCGCAGTGGAGACAGTGTGATAGTTCGTCGCGGCATGGTAGGTATCGATGTGTAGCGTAAGCATGGCCAATTCACAAGCGACACGGCATAACTTCCTCCCGTCAAGACTTTTGGTAGGACGGCTGCCATTCCTGAACAGTCGGCTTAATGCTCTTCAGTTTAGCTGGTGCCCGTCGCAGGGGGTCAATTGGTGCTCAATTCGTCCTGACCGTATAAAGTGCCACCCATGTGGAAATGGATCCCACATTCCAGTGACATTTCAGGCGTGGTTACGTCGATGAAAGGTCGATCAGTGGCAGGCCATTACTTAAACGGCGGCAGACACTGAAGCGAAACAAAAATGCATGCATTCAGTACGTCTAAACGGACAAAGAAAGACTAGATGAGCTACTGTTCGAAAAGGACAATCAAGTCGGACGGGACCGGTGATCATTCAGTCGTGGCAAATTAGCGTAACGGCGCCGAAAGCTTGAAAGTGGACAAAATTGCATACACCTTCTGCTCGCCAAGAACTGTAACAGGTTTCCAGCTGCCACCGGGTAGCTTCCAACTGGCACCAGCTGTTCGCAAAAGAGCTCCATTTCCTTTAAATAAAATACTGAGGTTAAATGGAACTCTCTCAAAAGAGGTGTCATAAATCCGTGGTGTTCTTAAATTGGGGGGGGGGGGGTCTGTGCTGAACTAAGCCCCAATGGCCCAGCCCTTTTCCCAACCAACCGAAAGCAGAGGCTATATGGCTCGAAGTTTGATTGGACCGACGTCGCCAGCAGTGCCTCTCGAGAACTGGTGCTTGAACCAACTTCGTACTTCCGCTCTCAAGGGCTGGTGCTCAAGGACTGGTGTTTGAGGAGCCCGTGCACTGCAAACCGCCGTGGATGGAAACAATATTTTACGATATGTATTGGCATGCCTTTCCTTGCTCATCTGGGTATGATCATCTTTTTTCAGAAAATCTTAGTGAAAAGAGAGTAAAATCATTTTGAACATGCCCAGGTCGCAGCTGGGCATGCAGTGTGCTTTATTTTCCACGAGTGCCGTCGCAGAATGTGAATGGGATCGGGCTGCGATCGGGCCGGTTGCCCAGTCGTATCCAAATCATGACGCAGCATTTGCCAGTGGCCGCACCGCAGTTGCATTTGCACGGAAGGGTGGTGTGAGTATTGTGGGGAGGTGGGAAACCAAATAAAAGTGCTTTGAGTCGTACCAACATCTAGGCTGATTGGCTGCATGCTTGTTGGGACACCCGTTGTCAGCATGCGGCGAGACCAGGTGAGTTGAGAAATATTATTTGAGCCGTTGATCTAAAAAGATTGGGTATACGTTATCAATTCCACCAACGGGTTCTAAGCTATAACTTGTCAATTTACCCACATTACCATTGGAGATCAGGAATTAAGAGGCCACTTGGTCTTTGGACTCCGGTATTTTCGAGATCCCGTTTATGTGCCGAACAACCTCATTTTAACGATGTAGTCGGTGTGGGCCGTCGCACATGGTGCCAGCCCGGCGTGAATCGAGCCTAGTTTTAAGCTGTGCAACTGCGGGTGGCGATAGTCATACCAGTGCAAGAGCGCTCCAATCGTTTACAACCTAGGAGCTGAATAAGTTCCGACGGACGAAGGTCCTGGCTTGAACGCTCTCAGCTTCCGGTGGTGTCCTTGTATCACTTCCGAATCGTGTCTTGTTAGGGGCCTGTCCACCGCCAAAGAATTCCTCCGTGAAACATCTGTAACACGGCAACCATGTCTCCCCTGCAACGTCCGCAGTACAGCGAAGACTGCTAGAGGAATCTGAGCCTCTTATGATATGGTCTTGGCCTAACTTCTTGTAAAAGACGCATAGTTCGTCATTTAGCACGCGCGCGGGTGGCCGGCTGGACACTCCTCGCTCGGGTGGAGCGGGGGGGGGGGGGGGAAGGGGGGTCATGTTAACTCCCCTGAGAACTCGGGATATTAAGCTAGGAACACCAAATTTACAGGGTGTATTGACCAGTACGTGAACTCACTTAGGTCAAAGTTTGAGGTTCCTAGGCCATGACATTCGGGTCAAATATGGCCAAACAAGGTCAAATACCATGTCGGTCTCCAAAGTACACCCAAAACCAAAATACCAGTTCTACGCAGGTTACATGCTCATTTGAGGTCAGTAACCTTGTTTGCCCTTTTTAAGGTCCTGGTGACCAAAGTCGTACAGGACTGCTTTGAGTTTTGCATTGGAATAGGCGACAAAGATTACGCTACGCAGTATTTTCTTAAAGACAAAATGTTGAACCTGGGTCATTTCAGGTCAATGACCTATTCTGACCTCTAAGAAGCTCATGGAAAGTGTGTAATGCGGTTCCTCCTATCAATAAATCTGACATGAGTACCAGAAAATACCTCATATAGCAGGCCCTAGAGCAATACAACAAGTTCGTTTTGACCCTGTCTAAACTTTATACTTGGCCCTAGGTCAGCATGACTTACTCATACAATATTTGTGTTGCCTAAGACGGCATCTCAGAGATGTATGGCCTCGTCTAACACTTCAATGTTGCATCAGATTGAATGATTTCCTAGAGTCACTTCGCTGAAACTATGGCCTGCCTTGGACCCACCATAAGCCAGCGACCTTACAAGGTACATCTACATTTTTGATACCAAGCTGTCTGCTATTCGATTGTATACAGCTATGCAAAATTTGACGCCGCTTCGCCGCGACAATCCGGGAACCATTCCGGAAAAAACCTTTGGGGTGGTCTATTTGAATCCCTCTACCTGAGCGCGTGTTAACCCTCTCCACCCGGCCTGAACCAACTTGTGCTGAGGTGCATTAAGTTACACTTGGATGCGTTGAATGGGAGCAATCGTACTCCTCCAACCATTTGACCAGGCCCTTGAGGTCGACCTGGAGAGGAAAAACGGCCCGGGTCCAGAAACACAACAGTGCACCTTGGAATAATTCGCCAACATCTTGTCCCCGCTTCGTACTTCTAGTACAACCCCGAACAAATCTAACAACGTCGCTGATTTCTATCGCTTTATAAAGAGCCGAGGAGTCAATCATTGCAAGATGAATGGCACCGCTGATTTGTTCGATGCAGTCCTTCAATGCCTGGTTTGCCCGTTTTATTGGCTTCCAAATGCAAGTATATTGGTATCTTCGGGTAGCTTTGCTTTTGCTCTTGTTTCAGTTGGCAACGGTGCTGAGCAAAAAGCTACCTGAAGCAAAAAAAAGAGTTGTCATGCGTATCGTTTCATCTGACTCCTTTGCATCTTTCGTCGTTCACAAATGCGCAAAATCGTTACGTTACACTAACCACCCCTCTCCTACGTGACGTTCGTCACGCACCGTGCCTTTCCTCCAGCGATTTTATTTCCAGCGGCCACCTATCTCGCGTGTGCAATGTTTTCGGGTTCCATTTTCACCCACTGGCGGCAGCGAAACGTCTTCAGAGGTAAGTGCCGAGAGCGCCGATCACATAATGACATCTGGGAGACCACAGATACGGCACTCGATTCCCGCGGTACCTAACCTTACTGGCAAGGTGAGAGGCGGACGGCGCCATATTGTCTCGACAGCCGAGTGCTTGGTAAAGCCCCAACGAAGGCCGCATTACGGAGAAGCGTCGGCAACGGGGAGGGGAGGGGGGGGGGGGGGGGGTACGGATTTGAAATACGTGGAGATGCCCTCCACAACAACCTAGCTCCACGCCGCTGTTTGCAGCTACCAATCAGCGCCTTCTGCCCGTGTCCAGGTTCGATTTCTGGGACGGAGGAAAGCACCAGTCCCATACCTTACTGTATTGGCCACGAACACGACACGGCTGGTTTAATGTACAGAATAGCGCATCTGCGCGAACACGAAGCGATACGCAAGGTGCGTGTAACTGAGTAACAGGTGCCCCGCTATAAAGTAAGGCAGCTGGGCGCGCGCCCGCCGGCGGCGCTCAGGCTTCAGCGGCGCCACACCGGTGCCATTGCCGACGTGACGTCCGCTTGATGACGCCCGAGGGCGGCCGGCGGAACAGCGACGACGCAACTACCAGATGGAAACACACCCGCCGTCCGATTAAACATAATTGAAGAACGTGCCCTGGCTGTACAGCAAAACGCGCCGAGATTGGTCGCATTTCGATCAAATAGCGACACCGTACCAACTAAAACGCTTACACCGCTATTTAATGTGAAACCATCACTTTTTAAGCTGCGTAGTTTTAAGCCAAGTAAATGCACCCGGGTGATTATGCTGCAAATCCGTTCGGTGTGCGGTACACTCAATCAGTTAAACGCGAACGCAGCATGAGGCTTTCTACATTCGCGCATCCATACTAGGTTTCGATGCAGGAGGCCAGCGTGAAGCCTGGTACATCCGCACACCCAAACGAGGCCTCAACGCGCAGTCAGCATGGCGCCTTGTACATCAGCGCGTTCACACCAGGCTCCGATGCAGCCGTGTCCTTGTCATACCAGAGCCGACGCGACATAATATATTTATAACGGTGCGAAATCAGCTCGAACACGGCCCTTCCACCGCCCGCTGGGGTGGCTTCAGAGCCTGCAGCTCGGCGTTCCGACACACGACGCCTACCAATCACGGAACGCGCCGGCCCCAGCTGGCGGTGGCGATGGCGACTGCCCCCGTCGACACGTGGTGCACTACATCCGGGAGCTTAAAGCCAATGGAAAGTAGCCCACGCTCCCGGCCGGCAGCTCCAGTAACGCGGCGACTGATTACGAACGCGGGCGGCCGTCGGCGGCCACCGGCGCCCGTCGGCCGCAGCCGTCCGCCGGCGACGTTTCAGCTTGACTGCGAGGGCGGCGCGCCGCCGCCGCCGCCTCCGCCGCCGCCCAGCAGCCGCTCCACGGCCGCGTTCACGTCGCCGAAGGTGGCCACCAGCGCACGCACGTTGGCCTCGCGGTTAACGAAGCCCATGGCGGCGAGCTGCTCGAGCTGGGAGCGGAACCGCTCTTCGGGCGGCTGGGAGCCACCCAGTCCGACCGAGCCCATCATGCGCGCCATGAACTGCGACAGCTGGTCTTGGCCGGCCGGCACGCCGCCGGCCGGCGCGGCAGCCGGCGCCGAGCCCGGCTGCGGTGCCGGCGGCGGCGCGCCGTCGGCCGCCGCCGGCGCCGGTGGCGGTGTCATGTTCAGGCCCATCGAGCCGAACAGACCGGGTGACGTCTGCTGCAGCGTATTGAGGCCGGCCTGCACTTGCTGGATCGCCTGCAACGCCTCCGGGTTCGTCATCAGCTGTTGCACCTCCGGGTTCTGCATCTGCTGCAGGAAGGTGGGCAACATCGTCTGCATCTGCTGCTGCATGGCCTCGTTGTTGGCAAACAGTGGGTTGTTGGCAATCACCGACTGCGCCAAAGCCGGGTTGGAGGCGAGTGACTGCAGCATGGGCTGCAGATAAGGCGCGCTCATCATACTTTGCATAGCCTGCGGGTTGGCCGCCATCTGCTGCATCAGACCCTGCATGCTATTGAGGCCGCCGGCGCCGCTAGTGGCCGTGCTGGAGGCGGTGGTCGTCTGCGCGGGCCGCGTCGCCGAGCTGGTGGCCGGCGGCGCCCAGGGGTTGGGCAGCGGCTCGCTGTTGGCCGAGCCGGCCGCCGCCTGCGCAGCCGGCGCCGAGCCCGTGCCCGCCGACTGGCTGCCGAGCGGCGCAGCTGAACGGATTGCTCGTCATCTCCTGGGCGGCGTCCAGCATGGGCTCCTGGATGTCGCGATAGACCCGCTGCAGCGCGCTGAAGCCGCCCGGGATCGACTCCAGGTTGGACATTGCGCGGTCCTGCTGTCGGACCAACTCTTGCATCATGGCCGGGTTGCGCGCCAGCTCCATCGTCTGGCGCAGCAGCTCCGGGTTGTTGAGCATGTGCGTGATCTCGGGGTTGCGCTCCATCAGCTGTTGCATCTGCGGGTTGGACCCCATCAGCTGGCGCATCACGTCCGGATTACTGATCATGCTCTGCACCATGGGGTTCTCCATCATCTGCTGCAGCATCTCCGGGTTGCGCAGCATCTCTTGCTGCATGCTAGCGCTGCAGCTCCATGAAATTGGCCGAGCCCATACCGAGGTTGGCCAGGCCCGGTATACCGCCGAAGGCACCCAGGCCGGCTGCCGCCGCGTCCGGCGCCGGCTGGCTGGTCGTCGAGCTCGATGCTGGCTCCGATGTGGTGTTCACGTCCTGGGGCTGGGCGGTACTTCGCAGACTTAATGACAAGATGCACTGTCTGGCCATCCTTCACCTTATGCGTGGCAAGCGTCTCGTGATCCTTCATGATCTTGCCGGCGAAAATGAGGCACAGTTGTGCAGAAGAAGCCTTGAAGCCATCCGCGACCTCCTTCTTGAAATCGGCTATGGCACAATCCGGGCTCACCTGAAACGTTTGTTTTTCTCTTGGAGTTTTGACTGTGACTGATATCTTCTCCTGGCCTTCTGCACCCTGAGCTTCAACATTACTTGACATGCCTGATGGTTTTCCAAGATGTCAGGCTTTAAATGGTGTGCCAATAACCAGTGAGTTTGTAGAGTGCTTGTGTATTGTATATAGGCCCTGAAACAGGATGCATAATAGTTAGCGTTAATTTCACCATCTTGGAATACCCTGCTCAATGCACAGGTAACTTGAGGATGAATACGCCCACAAGTGCAAAAGAAAGGTTAAATAGTCCAGTCGTTAAATGCAGAACAAGGTCGGCAAATTTTAACAGGCAGCACATGAGCTATGCACTTTGGCCTAGGCGATGTGACAATATTCCAACACTTAGACGTCAGACATGAACATATTTTATCATGTTATTGCAAACCAGGCATGGGGTTCACTGCCCGCTGCTCTTTCTTTGCGTTCAGGATCAGCCAATCAGCATTGAGCCCGACAGTGGTCAACCCAGCATCTAAGCGCCACAGGATTAGCAGATTAGCCCGACAGGTCAGATGTCAGGGCTTAGCAGATCAGCCAAATAGGTCAGATGTAAGGGCTTAGCAGATCAGCTGATAGGGTCACATGTCAGGGCTTAGCAGTTTGCTAGGCCCTGACACCTAACAGTTATGCATGTTCCGTCATTTTGATGACCTTTCAAGGCGAGACGTGCCTTTTTAATTCAGCAAAGGACATTCAGACCGCCTGCCCACAAGAGTAGCATTTTACAGATCGGGACACGGGGACGAAGCAAGGCTTTCGGCCTCGAATCCGGATCCGAAGCCCACACAATAACATAAAACCGAGGCCGACATAAAAGCTGAAGAAGGTGACTTCGAAGTTTGGAACTGTAAAACCAAAGCAGAACCCAGCGACATCGTAGTTTTGAAACGTGAGACGAATCCAAAGCCAATAGCTTCGAGCTTCGTGCACGTGAAACCGAAGCCAGTGGCTTCGAACCTCGGAAAACGCAAAACCAAAGATAGACCATTCAGTTCAACATCGCAAGGCCGAAGCTCAAGCCGAAGCCAACGTGTAACGATTTTTTGTAGAATTAAACCATTTTAGCAGATGCCCTGAGTACAGCGAGGCCGCCACGGTGAATGGCAATGTCAGGAACACCGCACCAACCCAGCGCATAAACATTCGCCAACATTGAATCTCGCTAACGAGCATCGGTGACGACCCTGGCCCCAAAGTTAATCACCCCTGCACTTTGCTCAGGTGACACGCTGCAGCCCCGCCCCAGACCGAGAGACAGTACAGAGGACGAAGGAAGATATGGGACTGAATGAAAAGTGTATGAACTTCGGGCGTAAGGTGGTAATGAATTTCAGACAAGCAAAAAGGACTGAGTTTCACTCTTTAACAATGGATACGTGCATCCCCCAACGAAAGGATACGTTCAGTAGTAACTCCAGACAACAGACAGACAACTTCACAGACGACAGGCTTAATTTATGTTCCGCAATGCCAAGGTGGAAAGATGAGATTTTCGTTAGGGACTGTGGAGTGCAAAGGAGAAAAAACGCTTTGGTGAGATTCATTTTAAGGGAGTTAGGTATGAAGTAAGATTTAATAATTTGGATGGTGTCCACCTGTCGGGATTTCAGGACGGATATTCCGTCCGGATGAGCAGAGTCTGGCAGTTGGGTGCTGTCGGCGTAGGACACTAGACATCCGTGAGAGCGGTAAGACGGAAGGTTGCTTGTGAAGATGCTGGAGAGGATAGGGCTGACCACTTATCCCTGTGGGACACCGCGAGTCCTTCGAAGAGAAAAAAGAGAAAAAGAGAAGAAAAGAGAAAAAAAGAGGAAAAGAGAGGAAAGGAGAGAAAGAAGAAAGAGAAGAGAGAAGAGAGAGAGAGAGAGAGAGAAGAGAGAGAGAGAGAGAGAGAGAGAGAGAAGAGGAGAGAGGAGAGAGAGAGAGAGAGAGAGAGAGAGAGAGAGAGAGAGAGAGAGAGAGAGAGAGAGAGAGAGAGAGAGAGAGAGAGAGAGAGAGAGAGAGAGAGAGAGAGAGAGAGAGAGAGAGAGAGAGAGAGAGAGAGAGAGAGAGAGAGAGAGAGAGAGAGAGAGAGAGAGAGAGAGAGAGAGGAGAGAGAGAGAGAGAGAGAGAGAGAGAGAGAGAGAGAGAGAGAGAGAGAGAGAGAGTAAGATAGAGAGAGAGAGAGAGAGAGAGAAGAGAGAGAGAGAGAGAGAGAGAGAGAGAGAGAGAGAGAGAGAGAAGAGAGAGAGAGAGAGCCAGAGAAGAGAGAGAGAGAGAGAAAGAGAGAGAGAAGAGAGAGAGAGAGAGGAAGAGAGAGAGAGGAAGAGAGAGAGAGAGAGAGAGAGAGAGAGAGAGGAGAGAGAGAGAGAAGAGAGAGGAGAGAGAGAGAGAGAGAGAGAGAGAGGAGGAGAGAGAGAAGAGAGAAGAGGAAGAGGAGAGAAGAGAGAGAGAGAGAAAGAGAGAGAGAGAGAGAGAGAGAGAGAGAAGAGAGAGAGAGAGAGAGAGAGAGAGAGAGAGAGGAGAGAGAGAGAGAGAGAGAGAGAGAGAGAGAGAGAGAGAGAGAGAGAGAGAGAGAGAGAGAGAGAGAGAGAGAGAGAGAGAGAGAGAGAGAGAAGAGAGACAGAGAGAGAGAGAGAGAGAGAGAGAGAGAGAGAGAGAGAGAGAGAGAGAGAGAGAGAGAGAGAGAGAGAGAGAGAGAGAATCTCTCACCACATGATGCCGACCAGCAAGTAACTCTCAAACTACTTCAGATCAATGCCATATGACTACAACTTTGTCAGGAGGCCATGATCAATACTATCAAAGGCACAACTTAGATCAATGGAAGTGTCGGCGACAATGTGCTCAGCATTAATCCGACGTACCGCACACTCAATGACGTCGACCAGGGCGTCCTCTGTTCAGGCACCCTCTAGCAAGGTAAGGGTGTTGTGATGGAGCTTTAAGATCATGGGCAATGAGGTGGGACGATAGCTGCATGCACACAACTTTTCACATATTTTGGACATTATAGGCAACATTCATATATAGATCCTAAATTAATAGCGATGTCACGAGGGCCTGACTTGTGAGGTGGGATGACAGAGACAACCTTCCACGAATCGAACACAAGAGGCGATAGAAGTGTTGATGGGATGAAGCAAATGTGGCCCGACGACAGGGAAACATTTATGCAAGACATGCATGTAATGTAAGGCACACCGTCAAGTCCCATCGCCCGGTGATGACGTCTCGCTCATAGCCATCGATCGTTCGAGCGAAGTCGTAGGACGCAGTTTTGACGTGAAATAGGGAGACCGCCGTGACTGCCCCATGCCAGTTCGACGGAGACGCCCCGGCCTACCAAAGCGAAATGCCCGTTACATTTGTCGGCCTTTTCTATGGGCAGGTCCACAGTGGCATCTCCACGTCCCTCCGCTGGATGGAAAGTAAAGTTTCTAATGTTTCGCCAGAAACCAACCCGGTCGGTGAGTATTGTATCGCGCAAGAAACTTCGCATCGACCTCGCAATAGCCCTTCACGCGGTTTCAAAGGCGTCGGTGAACCCAAAGGTCGGTTTCGGCCCCAGATTCGCGGCATACTCGATACGCGTCATCGCGCTGCTGCATCAGCCGTCGCAGGTCAGGGCTCTCCTCAAGCCAAGGACAGTGGCAACGACGACGGAGAGATACGGTTTTTAGGGGCAGTGCACGTCCATCCCAATCCACCACACGCGCGTGAACTCGACCACTTTCTGCTCCAAATCTTCATTCCGATAAACTAGATTCCAGTCCACCTGCAGAACATCGGAGCAGGACGCATCCCAGTTTACCTCACGGCATGGACGCACGGTGAAATGCGTCTAATGACAGCAGGGGTGGCTGAATGGTGCACGAATGATGGTCAGATGGTTGGCGATCAGCTCAGTCAACAACTGAACAGGTGACTCTGGGTCAGGAATGGTGGCAATGATGTGATCTGAGTCTAAGTCGGGTCCGGGTATGTAGGCGTCTTGGTGAAATGGGACAGACTGAGGTCAGTCCAAACAGTCACCATGATGCATTCAAGGGCCATAGCACACAACATATTTATATTTGTCAATCAGGCGAACGGTTTGCTTACCCAGACCCACAACAGCATGCAGTTGATTATATAGGTTGTCCAGGCCATCCATCACTGGCTGAGACAGTGGAGGTGGATGACACCCACAAGAATAGGACAGTGCCTGCCACCAGGGATTGACACCCAGAGTGACTCCCAGGCACCTCCTGTGCTTGTAATTGGAAGGATGCTCATGGCATGGTTCTCCCAGCATAGGATAGCAACAGCCCCGCCTCAGGTTGTAACGGAAGGGTCTTAATGTACCAGTCTATAACCAGGAAACACCAGCATTCTATCCCTGACAGCACTAAGTGATGCACATGCCAAGTTTTTGCTGACAAGAGTATAAAGCACTGAGTCTGTCTAAGGTAACAGTGACTGGACATTCAAGTAACTGATGACTGATTTATGTACCAGCTCACTAAAGTTGGTGGTCTGACTGCTGTTGGAAAGGTGACAGGTTTGACAGGTACATCATCCCTGTCTTGTTTGTTGGTACATACAACATAATGACAGGATGGTTTGGGGTTCACCAGTGTAAGGGCTGCAGCCCTGGAAAAGTGTGCAGTTTACCTTAAGGGGAAAGGGTGGTACAGTTGCTATTGTAAAGCACAGCTACGACTGCAATGAGCAAAGCTCCTGACAATACCAAAGCCAGGCAATTAAATATATAGGTACTAGAAGTGCAGTTTCCTTTTCAGTTAGGGGGGGGGGGGGGGCTCAGTCCCTTCCCCAGCTTTGGGAAGAAAGTGGAAAAAATCTGGAGAAACCTTCTTGTTGGCATATTTAAGGGTGGGTTGGGTCATTTTCCACTTTTAAGTCCTCTTCTCATTTTATGAAACTATGCCCTTGACAGGTATAATGAAAAGCTGCAATTAATCAATCACCAATTTTTCCATAAATTTGGCTACACAGATTGCATTTCAGGTGTTGAAACATGCATTAAAACATTCAGTCAATGTTTCTCTTTTTAGCAGAATGCACAGCATGACCACACAGGATAAAATAGGAAAAGACATCATGTCCTGTGCAGGTGCAGTGGTGATTCATAGCCTGTGACTAGTCCGCAAAACAAGTCAGATTTTGATGAGATCTTTTTGGGGCAGGGTTGAGCCAAGAATAAATAATTGGGGCAGGTTTTGGAAATTTGTGGGTCAGAATTCCTCAATTAAGATGGGTTACATTATTTCCAGACAGCTCTTGATACCTTGTGGCAGGTGCCAAGCTGCAGAGAAGGTTGGGTGGGGCAGGTAAAACCTGACATGTATAAAAACAGAGGAGTCACAATTCAAACAAGCAGGGCACCCCAAAAGTTGATTGAGTCAAATATGTATTAACCATGTTATAGCTGACTTTACTCCTGACACATCATCCTGTACAGCAGTGAATGAGAACACTCACACCCTAGAGCCAGATAACCATTCTTAACATTAAAATGAGCAGACAAAAAATATTGCATTAGTACAAAACATTTTCCTTATGTTAGCTTCTGTAACTTACTCTGAACAGGTACATAAGCTGTAGAAGCTGCATGCCAAATAGGTGGTGTTATCTCACTAGTGTCTGCATCACAACTCCAAAAGGAAAGATTTGATCATTCATGTTGAGAAATGATGCATTCCAGATGCACACACATTTGTCAGTGCTGTAAGTTAGGTAACATAAGGATAATTCAAAATTTTGGTGATTGGCTCAGTGTGATTCCAGCCCATCCCAAGTGGTAGGGGTCATCAAAATAAGTGCAAATTACATTACAGAAAGGATATCTTAAGGACCCCTAGTCACCAGATCACGGACCTCTGCCCTGAGCCAGAGAAGTGGGGCACCCCATTTGGAACAGAAACAGACCTGCCCCATATATCTTGGACTGGTCTGCAACCTTTTGCAGACTGGGTCTGTGGTTTGAGCATGCATCCTACGAATGTAAAAGGAATCAATGACAATGGCCATAAAACAGTGCAGCAGTTCTTCTAGACTGATCCCAAAGATATATGACACTTAAAAAACGTCCTAGTTTAATATGTCATGATCAGGCGACCACCGATGTACCTACAACAAATATAAATAGCTGAGTAACCATGCCCTTGCGTTTGACCGTGTCTGTTGAATGCATCGCAAGCTGATCCAATCCCAGTATCTATTGTTTTTCACACTAACCTCAAGCTCGCACAAGCTGTGCGATATAAAAATAAAGATGAAGAAGTTGCCCTCGGTATTTCCTTATCAGCCGCGCGCCACCCACACCAGTCAGTCAGCAGTAAAGGAGGTACGCCGCGTCATGCTGTCATCATATCATTTTCTGCGTCACATTTGAATCCCAAAGTGTGCCATATCGAGAGAATAAAAGGCATGCCACTGCTAATTTACAACACTTGGCGAAAATTACGGCAATAAACAAGGGATGGTACACTGAACCTATGATTACGAGAGGGTGGCAAACCGAGCCTAGTTAACCGAGGGCTGTAGCGCCATATTTATCTTCAGAATAAAGGGATAACGCCTTTTGCGCACCTCCGGTTAAGTCAAATAGGTAAGGCAAGATGAGCTCTCTCCCAGGATCGCGCGTCCCTGCTAGTTTGGCGTGATAGAATAAACAATTTTACTCTTTTACCATAGAGTCCGAGCACACCATCGTTGAGACTCGGCATTTAGCCGTTCATCAAATGCTAGCCGGATGCAGTGTGGTGGTGCTTGATCAGTGGGGCAGTGCTTTATTGTGCGTTAACAAACCATTTTCACACGATTTACTGAGCGTAGTACCCCGCGTGGCGACGGCTGGACACGGAAATGTGCCAATGAGGGGCGGGGGGGGGGGAGGGTGACTGTTTAACATCTAAAAGAGCCACAATATTCGTCTCCCTGTACACTTATGCTTCGCCCTGGCGGAAGGCTAGCCCCATCCCACCCAGTTCAGCCCATGGGGGGGGGGGGGGGGGGGGGGGCAAACGCGGAGCATCCAACCGCGCGGAACTGAATCGTGATCGGACGAAGACAGCGACCACCTACGTCAGTACCAACCATGACGTGTCCTCAGCCATTTATTCATACTACTATGCGTGTACCAGCCTCTCGCCATCGACATCTGGAGGTAATCCCTGACCACTCAGGCTGACAGGAGCGAACACCTTGCCATTGTAGGGCACATGCAGATCGGGACGCTGCGGATCCCTGCCCGGCGCCGAGCCACCGGTACCCCTCGTACTATAAAATTAACATCAATGGCTCAATCAGAATTTCAACGTCACTGTACACGGGTACATATGTATATACAGCTATGAAAGAGCGAAGTCTGTACAATGGATTCGATATCAGTACATAAACCCAGCCTTGCCGCGTCCGGCCGCCGGTGTGCAGTGGCAAAGCGTGACGCAAAGAAACTGGACCCACTCGTCATCACCACACACGGAAATCGTTATTGCCTGGCGCGTTACACTCATTGCAATACTTGTGCGCCAACCTGTTTCACCAGCCACACCCGCGCCGGCCGTCAGGAGCACCCGTCGCGCGCAGACGCGGCGATAAGGCCAGCTTGATCGGCACGCCCGGCCGGCGCCAGGCGCCGTGTCATCCCAGCCCGGTTTCCCCCGCCCGCTACATGGGGCCACGCGCCCGGCGGCGCGCCGGCTTCACTGCACGGCGCAGGACGAGTCCTTGGGGGCGTTGCCGTCGGCCCGCTCCATCTCCACCACCAGCTGGTTGAAGATGTCGGACACCGACTGCGCACGACCGACGGACGGGGTCAGTAGGGTCAGTCGGCGCTGCATGGGGTCCTTCGGATCACGTGGGACCAGAACAGACAGTCGGATCCAGCATGTCAGACGGGGACACTGCGGTAAAATAAGTACCTCCGGTAGAAAAGACAATGCAAGCCTTTCCACGAGGGGTGCCACATGAAATTACTGAGTGCGTGCATCAGATAAGACAAGACGCCTTCCGAAACGAGTGAAGAATGCACAGGACGCCAAACATGCCCGCCATCACACGAATCCCCTGAGAGAGGCCAGGCGACACATCTCACGAAGACATAACCGGCGTCATCATTTCCCCGCTCTTCGCTGCGCTGCTGTCCAGGCGGCGGTGCCGCTCACCTCGTTCCGCTTGGCAGACGTCTCCAGGAAGAGGGCACCCCACGAGTCGGCCAGGCGCTTGCCGTCATCGAACGAGATCTCGCGCTCGCGGTGCAGGTCAGTCTTGTTGCCAACGAGCACCATCGGCAGACTGCGCAGGAGGCAGCCCGTCAGACTACCGGACCCATTCATGAGCACACACGGACTGCGCGAGTAGGGACAGATTCAGAACGCTGTCGTGGGGGAGAGGGACCCCCGCCTCGGGGGCCGACCACAAACAAGCAGTTCTGGTTTTCAGTCATTAAATTTCGCTTCCTTTTACCAGAAGGAAAGAAAACTTATCACGGACAAAAATGCTTCAATTTTCTTCACAGTGTAGCAAACTGTCATTTTCTCCTAGCTTGAGCCATCTTGGGAAACGGGGGGGGGGGGGGGAGCGAACGGATATGACCCGGTTCGATTCGGTTCGATCCCTCTCTACGTGGTGGTCCACCTCTCTGCGAGCGCTGCAACAGCAGCCAGTCTCGGCCCTAGCCACGGAGGCAACGTTCGGGGCCGGAGCGCGCGCTCACTTGACTTTGCCCGTGAGGTCGAGCAGCCGGTCGTGGATGGAGCGGAGCACCTCGAAGCTCTTGTGCGAGTTGATGCTGTAGACGAGGACGTAGCCGTGGACGTCCATGGTGTACTGGGAAGGCATGATGGAGCATTCGTCCTGGCCGGCCGTGTCCACGATCTTGATCTCGTACTCTTGGCCGCGCACCTTCACCACCTTAGAGAACGCTGCAGGAGACGTGTCAGTTCATCAGCGGGCCTTCCAGGGGCGAACAGCGGAACGCCAGCATGCGCGGCCGGAGGAGTGCTACGAGTAGGACTGCTGGACTTGGTGTGAAATCTAACTTCCGAACATGTCTTCGCTCCGCGCAGCCCGTAGATGTGGCGATAACTGAGCTGGATTGCGCTTTTACGAACGACAAATATCCAACATGACGAATAGTACGGTACAAGCTGATGTCAAAAGACAATATTATCCAGGTTATTACAAGCGAGCTTAGGCATTGTTCTGAAAGCACAATTCAGACAGCTGACTTGACCCACTTTGAAAACATATTGTATACACTCACTGACATTGACACTGACATACTCACTCACATTGACATTATACTCACTGTTTTCAATAGTGGGGTCGTACGAGTCCACGAACTGGTTGTCGACGAATTGAATGGACAAGGACGACTTGCCTGGCAACATGAGGCGAAAGAGCACTCACAATCAGACAAACCAGGTGTTGTGGACAGTAATGCAGCAATGGGTGAAAGCATGTCTGGCCCATCACCTGTCAAATAAACATGGGGTAAACAGGCAACTGAATGACAACTCAGAATTTCTTTCTGATATGGTATAAGCAGTTCTTTGAAACACTTGGGATTTCAAATATATGCAATATAACCTCTCAGCCAAATGTAACTATACCATGTAAAGCACATTTCATTCCATAGATGACAACCTTTAACCTCACATTATAATCAAAGAATCTGTTTGCCTCATTCATCACAAATACAAAGTCATGATTGCTGCTTCCTTATACACTGTTCATCAACAGACAAACATGTGGCCATACTGTATCGCAACAAGTAAGTGCAATATGTGAGGACAGTGTAATACAAGATTTTGCATTTTGAAATAGAGAGCATCTTGGCACAACATGATCAGATCTGTCACTTTGACACAAACGTATGATATGTGGGAGAACGGTGCATTCAACAAGTGAACAGTTTAGCTGACCTGCTTGACACATTGAGAGTGAGCTCAACACAGCTGATATAATAATAACCTTAGCCAACACAGCCAGGCCAGACAAAAAAAAAACTAGTAAAATGACTTAAGCCTCTCATTCTGGGTTGTGCAAGTGAAGGCATTTTACAGGTTAACCTATGAAATTAGTAAATGCTCCATTGTATTAATATGCAAACCAACACATCAGCATCATCAAAACATGTTAACTCACCGACTGAACGGAACCCCAACACAGCAACTTTCCTCTGCTTTGAGGGCATTTTGTCCACGCAGAGGATGTGTATGAAGCTTTACGCTGACCTAAAAACAATGACCAATCTTAATATGTTGAATAGCATGTGGTAACAAACATGTTACACTAGAACAAGTATACCCTGCACATGCCTTGTGGTACACTCTGTCATGTCTTGTGCACACATGATTTTCACTAGGATGGGTCTGACCTGGATGGGGCAAACAACACAAGTCATCATGAAGGTGTGTAAGGTTGTGGCAAGCACAGACTCTTACAACAGTATCACAGCAAGCACAGACTCACAGCATATTCTGTCTTTTCAAGCATCCTGAAATTGGGAAACTTTGATATACCACAGTGAGCAATGTGACATTGGGGATGTTTGTGGTATGCCATTTTAGACCCACCCAGGTTCCATTTAGACCCACCCAGGCACCAGATGAATTTGAATTAATTTAACCACAAATTGATCACAGAACTGGGACTAAAACACTTTTCAATATTTGCCATTTACAAGCATTTTGGTTTTATTTTAACACAATGTACAAGTGCATAACCTGGAATCAAACAACAGCTATATAAATGCTGGACTTTTCCAGCTAAAAATAAAATATTGGCAATAATATTAAAATGATGAAAACAATGAAATTTTGCACAGTGAGCTAAAATCCCAGAACATCTCAACACAAATTCAAATCTGAAAGAGAAAAGGCTCTACTTTGGTTTTAGCTTAACCACAACTGCTCTGTTAATCAATCCTCACTACACAGCTGTCCAAATTTGACATCACCAGGCCAATGTTGATGCTAACCAAGTGATAGCTGTGGGCATCCCAAAGATGTAACATATTAAATGGTTGTCCTTGGAGGCCCACAACTTTATTGCTATATCCCCATTCCCTGTCATGGATAACAATCTGGGATTTTGGGCCATCAATCAACCATGGTAATGAGAGTGCATTCTAAAGTAAAAATACATACTTTTTACTAGCCTCATATCTTGTTAGCACATCCAAGGTCAGAGAGGTGCAAACTATTACAAGCAAGATAAATATATGTAGCTTGCATACAACTTAATGGCTCCACAAGAGTTAGATTATGGATACTTTTAAAGAGCAGCAGTGCCCTCCATTCATTTCACAGCCAAGCCAACAACACAGCCATTAAGGGACTTCTAAGAATTTCCTGGGGTTCATCTCCATATGACGATGAGACCGGTCAATCTAAAACACAACTAGTCTGAGATGATCATGTTTCAGTACATAGACAATTTCATGCAGATCAGGGTTAAAATATAATCTTCATCTCCATGATACATTTGTGGTTTAGCAATCCAAAGTAAGTAATCAAAGGCATAATAACACACAGCAAAAATGCTTCTTGCTAAAAATGGAATTTATGTATATGCTGTGATAAAGAACTGTCCATATACCACAAGTCAGGCCATCTACAAAACTGCAGAAAGTGTCAGAAGCAAATAGGAAAATCTGGACATCATTTTAATTTAAACACAGATCCAACCATGCACCAATTTATGTTATTTACCTTGATTTTACATACTATATAGCTGACCAAAAGACATACATGAAACAAAGACTAAAAACACCTCAGGTTTTTTGCAGTTATCATTGCTTTGCTGCTCCAAAAACTGCACAATTAGAATAAGCTCATCTGATCATCTAGTGATAAATGCTCATTATAGTCTAACATGTAAGGAGTTTTAGCATTGGTTAATATCAAATATCTTACTGTAAGTGCATAAGCCATCATACCAATCCTTGTGTCATATGTGCACTCCAGTCCTGTGGAGCATAAATAACATTGTATTGTCTTGACTGGCAGTGAACATGAGCTTTGCAGTAAGTCATAAACTGCTGTATAAAACCAAGTTATTACTCTTCATGTCATATTTCAGTGGTATGTACAACTTGATGCTTGCTTAAATGCAGGATGGTTTGTCAGACAGCATTATCAGTTAGCAAGTTTGTGCTGAATGGAAGCCCTCATGAATAGCCCTGGCACAATTGCAGACAACTTATATGCTTACTCAAGAAGAAATTAAGAGAGACAAACACTAGACATAAGCAAGAAAAGCTGTAAGCTCCTCATTTTACAGCATTCTGAGAAAAGCTGGTGCTGTGACCTCCAACAAAACAAAACTACACAACATTATCAAGCAGGCATAGCTTATATTTTCTACCCTCAATATTAACACCTGTGCTGGTAACCATGAATGAACAAAGCTGGGCCATGTTAAATAAAACAAATATGTTTAAAACCAAGGCACATTAATTTAAAAAATTATCAAAATCTGCACCTCCTTCTTACCAGATTCATATAATTGGCTGTCTTCATGCATTCATGTAACTTGAGGCAGGGTAAGTAGGTGCACAGTAATGTGCCAGACATTCAGAGGGTCAAGTGGTGTGACCCTCCCATTGGTTGACTCAAACACGTTCATGTGATGCTAGCATGCATCAACAAATTTTTCATTATTATTGTGTGTAACATTGACAACCTTCGATGAGACCATATGCCCCTCTCATTTCCCACTATATTAAGCACGCAAAACGTTTCGCTTATCCCACAAAGACATGCTCATATTGGTGTAGATCCAGTTCCATTGTCACATCACAGGAATAGGGAACCAAACATACACAGCCCAATGTAGCGATACACACTCCATATTCTTAGCTTAGCCAGGTGTATCACGGTCGTCACATCCACGGGATCATCCTTACCACGCACGCTCGTCACTCCCCTCACGCGAACAGGGATACTTTAAAACACGACTATCTTTCAACGGCCTTGGACTTCCCGACCTCCCAGATCTAACAACGCACTCAATTTTTGGCTATGCAGGTGCGATGGTAAGGTGTGGGATCGTCATTGTACAACATGCGCATTTTCTGTCTTAATTTGTGTACAAGAAAACCTTCACAGCCGTTGGTAAATTCTCTCCATGGGTAGAGAGGGTAGAGAAACTGTATCATTCTGATCGAAAAGAGCTCGCATAGACGGCGCTTCCACAAATCCAACCAATCAAAAGGGGTATGATCCAATTGGAGCGAATACGGCAACGGTGAATCTGCTCTTTAACAAGGAAATGTATATTCAAGAAATGTTATGTAAAACTGTGGACGTGGTGAAGATTCAAGGTTAACGTATAAGTGAATGTCAAAGGTGCGCCATTATTCCGTGCTGTTCAAACTCAATGTTGCCTGCTGGATTTTCTGGGACGTCTTTCACGGAAGTGGAGGTGTTTGTGGGCATCCCTCGGGATCTTTGCAAATCGTAACAGGTGGTGAGTGAGCGTGACAATACCTTTGTATGTCCCTGTGCCATATGGGTAGATATCGTCACCTTTGGTGACTGCAGGGAAAGCCAGCTATAAGGCCTGCTGGCTTTTAATCGTTTCCCGGCTTTTAACGTAAGCTGCTCGGCCTGGTCCAGTCTGCTATGGTACCCATTTGCTCCGCCACACGCTTTTGGTCATCTGTGCAGGGAACCCTGAAGATTTGCATTTGGAGCTCAGGTTGTGTCAATTTGCATGTAATTTTCTCTATATTTTGAGTGAAAATGCTTCTGTAGTAGTGTTGCCTGAACTTACCTTTTCAAGGTCACATTTCCTTTAAATATTGACTCATCTGGCCAAAACTAGTGCTTATGCATCCTTCATTCTGAGAGCGTGTATTTAGGTGTAGGTATACTCTGGTGCTAGTGTAGGTATACATTCCTACCTAACGTTAGAAAATAATAATTGTACACTATTTGTCGTGTTTAAGGCAGAACATATAAATAATCTTAAAACAGGTAGATTCATGCTCGCACCTTCAAATTTTAATATTTACGATAGCGAGCTCCTGAGCGCTGCACACACCCCACTGCCTTGACTCCCCAGTGCCGTTTTACCATATTTCTGCCTATCAAGAACCCAAAAAAATGCTCAGGACCACAGTAACAATAATAATGCAATGAAAAATGCTTCTTACCATGTCTAGGTATGTTCATGAAATGGACAGGCCAGAATAGTCCAGAACATAGCTTAAACTAGCCTAGCCTGGCCTGGCCTGGCTTGACATGACCTGACCTGACCTGACCTGACCTGACCTGACCTGACCTGACCTGACCTGACTGACTTAACCTAACCTAACCTAACCTAACCTAACCTAACCTAACCTAACAACCTAACCTAACCAAACCTTACCTAACCTAACCTAACCTAACCTACCTAACCTAACCTAACCTAACCTAACCTAACCTAACCTAGCCTAACCTAACCTAGCCTAACCTAACCTACCTCCCACCCTATCCCCTTCAACCCAGTGTCCCATTGGCATCCATGTTCCATGCCATACACATGTACTGTATTAAGAAGTTTTGTTTAGTTGCCATATTCTCATTTTGCTTTTCCTTCCCACGCAAAAACATCATATTTCCCTACCATGTGACCAGTCTTCAAACAATATGGAGGACTGTTTGGATATGCAAGAAACACATTTTATTGAATTCTTGTTACCTTGGCCTCATACATTTTTATGATTCTTGATGCGCAGTAATGTTGTGATCACGCAGTTGTGTTGCGATCACGCATAGAAATGGCGCTGGGGTCGTGGCTGCTGCGTGTTTGCTCTCGGATGTTCGCTATCATAGTTATTTAAGTTCCAAGGTAGGAGCTTAGATGACCTGTTTTACGATTAGTTACGATATGTTCTGCCTTAAAAACGATGATTGATGTACACTGCTCTTTCTTAACATGAGGTAGCAATGTATACCCTGACCTTGGTGTCTAATGTTAGAAAAAATTATTTTGCATCATTTGTCATGTTTAAGGCAGAACGTCTAGTAAATAATCACAAAACAGGTAGATTCATGCTCCTACCTTTGAATTTCAATAACTACGACAGCAAGCTCCCGAACGCCGCTCACACTCCACCGCCTCAACTCCCCAGGGCTGTTTCTGCGTTATCGTTGCGTGGTTACAATATTTCTGCTTATCAAGAACGATAAAGAATGTATGGGACCCAGGTACCACTAATAATGAAATACATTTGTTATGGCATGCAGCTACGTTAACGAAACAGACAGGCCAGAATAGTCCGGAACATAGTCTAAATTAGCCTAAATTTGCCTAACCTAATATAACCTCCCCACCCTATCCCCTTCAACCCAATGTCCCATTGGCATCCATGTTCCATGCCATATATACATACCACATTAAGAAGCTTTGTTTAGCTGCCATGTTCTCATTTTGCTTTTCATTCCCCACCCAAATACATCATATTTGCCCACCATATTGACCAATCTACAAACAGTGCAGAAGGCTGCTTTGGATACCCAAGAAACAAATTCATTGGATTCTTGTTACCTTGGCCCCGTACATTTTTATGGTTCTCGATGGGCAGTAATGTTGTGATCACGCGTAGCGTCAGGCTCGCGGTTGCTGCCGTGTGTTTGTGGCGCTCTGATGTTTGATATCGTAGCTATTTAAGTTCCAAGGTAAGAGTTTAGATGACCTGTTTTACGATTAATTACGATATGTTCTGCCTTAAAGACAACGATTGATGCGCAATGCTCTTTTTTAAAATGAGATAGCAATGTATACCCTGACCTGTATTTATAATATACATGCATGTAAAGGTATTGCAAAGAATGTGCTGCTACCCTAGACATGTCTGGGATAAGGATTTTGTGGTAGACTGGGGCCTGGTCATTGATGGCTGCTTGCCTGTAAACACATCATCTACTAGACATAACCAGCAAGTCTTGTTGTTTTCTACCTGTCCCAGTATAACACATCAAACCAAATACAAAACACGTTCATCACTTTGTAACAAATTGTGTACTGTAGGTTATGGTTTTGTGGTCAGGGCACAAGTCAATGTCTCATGAGATGGCAAATGCACATAAACATATAACCAGGCTCACTGTACTTTGTGCAATGAAGGAAGGCTGTGCATATCCACCCTTCTAAATTGCGGGGTGGTTATTCATCAGGCCTATACATGCTCTGAAATGGAAATTAGCTTCATATTGGGCTGACACACCCTCCATAACACATTTGAAATGGTTGCATGCACCAGGATCATATACATGTATAGTCCTGGGTAGTAGTGATTGTGAATGTGCATAAATTTAGTTCATGCTGACTCTGATTTTTTATCTTCATGTGCTGGCATGTTGCACAGTGTGCCACATTGTCACATGCAGTCCTTTTTCAGGGCTGGTTTTGACAGCATTTCATTTGGATGAGCTGAATTGGTGGACAGCAGCAGCCTCTTCTATCTGCACTATGGCTCAAACCAAAGGTAAGCTGTCAGCAGCCACATGTAATGGGGGATCACAAATTAAGCTTCTGGAGGATGCACCATTTCCATGCTGTTCATGTAAAAGTAAACATTAATTTTGGTGCAAAATGACCTTAGTAGTTGGTACACCATATTGGCATTGTGAGTCAGTATTCCACAACTTTTATGTATGCGGGAACTGAAGCCCTTTTTTGTTTCTTGGGCTTTTAAAGCCACAATAAATGTACCATAGTAAAAATATGTACCTAGTTTCAGGATTGTTATTGTGTTGCTGATTTTACATCAGCTGATGCTTATGTGTAACCAATATCAGTTCTTCCATTTATTGTGTTAACAAACACTTTCCCAAGGGTGACAGGCAGACTGGGAAAATATATGCATAGGTCCAGATGGAAACTGGTGGTATGGTAAGGATAAGTTTGGTTGGATACAAGTAGTGTTTGAGAGCACTGTCATGGTGTATGCAAATATTCATCAGGGGTTTGCCAGTCCCTGTTTGCCAGGTGCCAAATGGGGGGTAAAGTGGTGATGAATAAAGGTGGGTGGTGACCAGTGATGGAATAGAGGCCAAATGAAACAGACAGTGATAGCTATCTCTTGCCATCGCTTCTGTATCACAGAAGTTTGTGTGATGTTTTTTGTTTGTTTCAGATCTGTTCCACCTTATTTTTGTATATATCACTTCATGTTTTGCCCTTTCAACTTCATCTCTTCGTGTGGGAATTGGTTCTGCCCCACTTTATCAAATCGACCTGGTGCAGCCCGACCTGCCATTCTCCTTCAGATTCATCGATGAAGTACATCAGCCTGGTGACGCTGACCGTACAGAATGCGCTGCTCGGCCTCTGCACCCGCTACGTTCGCACCCGGCCCGGCGACATGTTCCTGTCCACCTCAGGTCAGCGGCCGCCGGCGGCGGTGCGCTCCGCAGTCGCCTCACCGGCCAGTCGGGAAGGTGGAGCTTTGCTAGAGGGCGATGGTGGGAGTCATAATGATGAGCATCATATGACCGAGTGCCATTGATGTTGCCCACGTTTATGTAAGTCGCGTGTCATATGTGGTCGTGGTAGATGGATTGTGAAATCCCGTGGAATACAGATTCGCGCTGCTGGGAGTGGGGCGTAAACATCAGCATGTATATCAGCAGATAAACGCGAGCTCGACTTCGTCTCACCAGTCGTTTTACGCGCAGGTGAGCGCGGGATGGAGGGTTAGGTGATTGAGGAGGGGGGGGGGGGGGGGGGAAGAAGCGTCATTGCGCAGCTGTGTGCGCACCATCGCACCGCTACGTTCGGGCCGTTGTGGGGAAAATGGCGGAGACAGGTGCTCGGACAAGACGATAGGTGTTCTTTTATTGATGCTGTAAGCTATAATGTCGCGTGTACCGGCTGTGGCTCCCCTCCAGGGGAATTCAGTGGTTGCTGTGACGCAGTCGCATGATGACGTGCCGATTGAAAGCCGGCAGATAGCACCAGGACCTATGGTACAGAACGGATTGGAGTTGTGAGCTCCAAAACCCAGGCGAATTGTCAGCATAGGACGCCATACAATATGCGTACATATGCTGGCGCCTGCGCGTAAAACGCTTCTGTGGTTTTATTGCGTCGCCCAAGGGACCAAAAAAAGTCCACGCCTACATAAACAGCAGTTATTATGATACAGACATGCGTTGCCAACGTACATGTTAAGGCATGCTTATCAATGACCCCTATGCGTGCTCCGTACGTGCAAACTGACGTGTGACATATGGAAAAGTATAAAATATATGGCGAACTTAACCAAAGCACCCCGCCAAGTTTCACCAAAATGTTTGTTTAGTTCTGTACAATGTTCAGAAATGGGCAGTGTCGCACATAATGACCCACAATGGACGCCTTTGTGTGCTTGGTGGTGTTTAAAGGGCTGGATTTCACGATGCGATGTTGAGGCCACTGCTTGTGCAACAAGCGCTGCTTAGCGTGGTCGCTGATCTCAGAAACTCATGCAGCCAATGGGTTTACAGTAAATCTGTGAAATACAAGTTGTATCGAAATCGCGTAAAAAGCGTTAAACATCCGGCTTTCCTTCATCGCCGGCCCCATCATCATTCGGAGCTACATCCGAATCCCAGCTAGCTCATTGAACCATCGGCCTCGTCTCCCCCGGCGAGACGCCAGCTAACGTAGGGGTCGTGTGACCGGCAGCCGTGCTGATGGGCGAGCTGGTGAAGCTGGTCACGTGTCTGGCCATCCTGCCGACCTCGGAGGGCTCGCTTTCGCGCGCCTGGCTGGCCATCAAGACGCAGATCCTCGACCAGAAGCTGGACACGCTCAAAGTGGGCGTGCCCAGTCTGATCTACACCGTACAGAACAACCTGCTGTACGTGGCTGCCTCTAATCTCGACGCCGCTACCTACCAGGTGAGGTGGACCAATCATCACCATCATTACAACTGGCCGCGGCGTGGTGAGTGGGCGCAGCTGGGAGATCCCTCGACTCATGCTCGCGGCACGTCTGGATGGAGCTGCCTCCTCAGTATTTGTGGCGGTCAACGGGTTACGAATTACTAGGTAGTTACTCTGCACCAGTGGTTATTAGTTACTAGGCACCAGTAGAATCCAGCTGCGATGCTTAATGAAATGAACCCATGGATATGTACTACTGTCACGTATCAGGGCGGAGTTAGCCTTCCATATCAACATAGGGTACCTCCTCTTTAGATGTTCGGTAGCGCCTGGAGGCCCAAGTTATCATATCACCGCTGACAGTGTATAGCGCAGTGGGTGCATGCGCCTTCAAGTTATCGCGCTCGTGAGGAGGAATTATGTGTTACGGTTCTGTCTGAGCATCAGTCGTGCACTGACCCACCTACCCTCGGCCTCTGCGGCCCCTGGACACTCGCACTCCCAGCCGCCGGGCGCAGCGGCGTGCTGACGCGCTCGGCTGGCCGCCAGGTGACCTACCAGCTGAAGATCCTGACGACGGCCGTGTTCTCTGTAACGATCCTGCGCCGCTCACTGCGGCCGCTGCAGTGGTGCGCACTGCTCGTGCTGCTGGTGGGCGTGGCGCTGGTGCAGCTGGCGCAGGCCGAGCCGGCGCGGCCGACTGCCGACGCGCCCGCCCAGAGCCAGCTGCTCGGTTTCAGCTGCGCCCTCGCCGCCTGCGTGCTGTCCGGGTTCGCCGGCATCTACTTCGAGAAGATCCTGAAGGGCTCGGACGTGAGCGTCTGGATCCGAAACGTGCAGCTGAGCGCGCTGTCGTTGCCGCTGGCGCTGGCCACCGGCCTGCTCAGCGACGGCGGCCGCATCGCCGACAAGGGCCTCCTGTTCGGCTTCGACTGGGTCGTGTGGTGCGTCATCTTCCAGAACGCCATGGGCGGCCTGCTGGTGGCCGTGGTGGTCAAGTACGCCGACAACATCCTGAAGGGCTTCGCCACCTCGCTGGCCATCATCATCTCGTGCATCGTCTCCATCTACCTATTCGACTTCCAGCTGTCGGTCATGTTCGTGGCGGGTACGGCCATGGTGCTGTCAGCCGTGTTTATGTACAGCTACCAGCCGCCGGTCGTCGCCGCCATCCCGCTCAAGGTGTGAGGCGGCCGCTGACGGCGCAGTGCGCAGGCTACCTATGCTCTGAGCAGCGCGAAGGCTCTGAAGCTGTTTTTTCTTTCTGGTTTGGTTATCTTGGCTCGCTGCTTGTCGTCAAACGTGCTATATTTGTGTTCGCTCTGCACAGCTATCTGCTTACTCGCTGATCTTTAGCGGTGCATGACTCGGCTATTTGCCAGCTTCGTCTCTTCTGCCGCCTGGTGGGCGTCAGACGAACTCTGACTGTTTTTTCCGCCGCCAGGCTGACGGTGGCGGGAGCGCGGTCAGAAAGGTCGCACCGTGACGCCATGCACTCACTCGGGCCCCGGCAGACCCCAGACCGGACAGCCGGCTCCTGTCGCCGAACGCACTGCTTTGGCTCTTTTGGTGGAGGTCTTCTGTATCCTGCACTATCTCATTATGCACGCACGGGTCCACCTCGTAGTCGGATGTACAAACGAACCTTATACTTCAGCCAGGTCCTCTGCTGACTTCGGCATCCAAAAGTGAGGATTGTACTCAGTTATACGGATATTTTCCACGCTCTTGGGTTAAAGAATGAGTGATATTTTGATTGGAAACGAACTTAAATATGAAATCAGTGTGGCTGGTTGATTTGGTTGGAGTTGCATGTCAAGAAGTGTTGCATACTGGTTTGAGAGCGCTTCCATCGCTGGGTGCGGCAGCGTGTGGTGTGCCCATGGCATATTCGACGCGGCGGGCCTCAGCTAGCTCCTCTGCTCAGCCCGTCGCTGCCGTCAGTGTCGGCTAACTCTGGGCGTTTGGGACACTCCTGGTGCGTTTGCAGGCGTATGTGTTATGGGCACACAGGGTCCAAATCAGTATGTGTCGTGGTCGGTTGGGGAGAGCTCGTCTTACCAGTCACGCGGTAAATGCTCACTGTGGGTGACACCTATGGTGAACGATCATGTCTTTCTGTGTCATCGTAGGCATGTGGGCTATTACTTGACGTGGGCGACTATTTTGCCGTCCGTCATATTCGCTTAGTTTCCTTCCCTTTTGTTCTGCACGAAAGTGCGTTGTCTCCCCTTTTGTTTTATTCCGCGTCCGGCTCGTCCGTCGGCCATGCTTCCAAAGGCTCCAATTGTAAACCGGGTTTGTCGGCTTACAGTTGGAGCAATTGTAACGTGCCGGAATGTGCCAAGCTTTTTACGTGTTGTGTGACTTACGTTGCTCCTATCGCCACGTTCTGGGTTCCCTATCGATGGCTGACGCTGATCTTCTGTCACCTGGGTTTCTAAAGACATAAAGGCTGTTGTTCGAGTTTTGCACTTTAAGGTACGTCGCCTGGTCACCATAGTGTTACCAAGCTCTTGGCGTAACGTTGCCATGATTCACATTGATTGTTCTCGGTCCCGCGGTAATCGTTATCCTCAACAGGCTTTGTGTTGGAATGTGCTCGGAACCGATTTCTTGGGATTGTCATGGGTCTTTCGCTTTAGCTGTGTGCATATCCGTCTCGTGCATTTTGGGTGTTGTTTTCGAAACAAAGTATTTTGCGTGGCAGAGTTGTCTTGATCTCAGGAAACAATAAAGTGCTGGTGTCTTAACTTTTGGTTTTTCTTGCATGCAACCTCGAGTGCATATAACCAGTCTGTTCTGTACAAAATAGCAATGTTGCCACTCGGTCTCGTTGGAAACATGCTCGGGACGGGACTGTGCTGAAGGGCTGTTATTGTATCGTTATAATTGTTGAAATGTTCCGTCTCGCTGAACGCTGATAAACTCTCGCGCGAGGCAGGAGTCGGTGTGTGCACATAGTTCATTCCTGCCCCGCGCAACTGGTGTTGGTCTTGATGACTGCCGAGAGGGCAGCGGTTGAGTCGTGCGTGGTTGGGGCTGTGGGTGTCTGACCTGTGGACGCGGCGGAGGGGGGGGGGGGGGGGCAGAGAGTTTGTGGGCCGCTCGCTGATGCTCGCCGGCAGCAATATGTTTTCCAAGTGCCTTGTCCGTACGAAGCGTTTTACATCAAAAAGCGTAATTGCTGTCGGAAACAATCAGTATTTGAAAATAAATGCGGGGTTCTGTTCTACGTTTTGTCCCCATGGTATCATTATGCCGCCAGCGCGCGTGCTCCTGATGCGGCTCACCATACCGCCATTCGTATTGTTACTGCGGTGTTCCGCACGTCACCTTCTGTCAGTCTTTTCATGGAGGCACACGGGCCACCACTGTCGACGAGGAGAAAAATGCTTGGCATACGTTATGTCATGAAGTTGCGGCAGTTCCCGTCACATCCGACATATCCTGCAGCATGTTCTCGGTATGCTGTGAGTTCCCTTGGTCATGGGTAGCAGGAGCATGTTTTAACTTTCGGTTTCCGAGTGATAGCCTTGTTGCAAGAGAGCGAAACTCCTCTTCAAGGTGGAAAGCAAGCAAGCCACCTGGCTCCTCCTTGGCAGGTGACCATATCCTTAATAGACATCTCGCTCACAGAAATTAGGAAAACAAGACATCATCAAACCTGACAAGATCCAGGGCACGAGCTTCTGGCGTCATGTGAAAGATGCACTCCGACGTGTACAGACAGATCCAACACCTCTGGTGGCGTGGGCTGTGCGTTCGTCAGCGGTTCCGTCACTCGATCGTTCCCGTAACCGGCCTAAGCGTCAGTTTTCACAGCGGAATTGATTGCGATTACCAAGACGGTATGTTTCATGGAAGTTGGTGACGAATATTGCGCGCCATTTTTACAGATTCACTGAGCAATCTCTCTGCACTGAAGTCTTTTTATTCATCATGTCCCCCTATACAAGACATTTTTATCACATCTGACACAGTTGAATCGGATCGGGAAGAGTGTTGCCCTGCGCTGGATCCTCAGTCACGTCCATATCGTGGGCAACGAGGAGGCTGATGCCGCTGCTGAGCGAACAGCAGTGGCACCATGTAACCGGTCTTTGCCGTTTTCCGCCAGAGACTTCTACCCGGCAGTCGAGACCCTCCCCAAAAGCAACTTGCAGCGCCGCTGGGATCAGGTTGGCGGTAATAAGCTCAGAGCGGTACAAACCCAGTGGGGATAGTGGCCATCTTGCTCTCGCAGTGACCGGCGGGAAGAAGTGGCGTTATACAGATTGCGTATTAGGCATACGTATGCCATCCATGGCCATCTGTTGCTTGGAGCCGACAGACCCCTATGCCATCGACGTGGTGCCGTTTTCACTGTCCACCATGTAATTGTACCGTGTCCGCGCCTCATCGAAGAACAACGTCGTCACTGGTCCGTAGGCTTCGTCCCTGACAATTGGCGATGTGCTCTGACAAAGCCTCCTTCCTTGAGTCCAAACAACTTCTTAGTTCTTAATTAAAAGATATTGACTCTGAAGTCATTTTCACACCACGCTGATTAAGTAAAAACATCGTTATGGGTGCAAAATCACTATTGCAGTCGATGCGCCCGAAAATACCAATAAACAACAACAAAGTGTCGCCATGCCAGGAATAAGTGTTCATCTCCCTATTTCTGAGATTTGAAACAACTTAATACCAACTCGATCTGGCGTGACTCGTAACTTCATATCATGCAATCTTCATAAGTTGGGAGACTGTACTCCCCTCGCCCTCCTGGAGCAGGATTTGCAGGTGCATTCCAGACCCTTCAAATCGCGCTCCAAAACCTGGAGACTTTCTTAACATTAAGCTTTCGGCGGAAGCTGGCCTCAGGCGTCGATACGCCCTAAAACCCCAATCAGCGTCATCACTTTAACATTACTTTGACTTGACCGACCCAAATTTGACCCTACGTTATCAAGAGGCGCGTTATCAAGCAACGGTTATTAGGAAGCATGTCAAGAACAGCCGCGGCCTGTTAAAGGCCGTTGTACCTCCTGCGGTTCTCTATCGTCCGACGTTTGGATGAAGAGTTTTCGAGTCACAGCGTAGTTGCATCAACTGCATCAAGGTTGATCATATGTAGGTGATGTGACGCTGATGAACTGCCTTGGGGAGGCGGCAATCTGGAAAAGTATGATCATCAGCTGTTCACATAGTCTAAGCTAAGCATTTTTTTCGGAAACAGTGCAACCTTACTGGTACAAGCCACCGAAAGCCAGGACAGCGGCATCATGGGGATGTTGGGGGGGGGGGGGGGGGGGGCGTTCCCCACATCTGCCAATGCGTGGGTGATTGTCTACCACAGCCTCAGATACTCGGAAATGTATGATGCAAGTCCACTTGTCACGTGGACTCGCGTAAGGCAAGTGAGACAGCAAAATATCAGGACATTATACTTACTTGACACGGCTCTTCTAAGACGTATTCACGAGGGGGAAGCCACTGGGATCTCGTTCCCCTCCCAAATCAAGTTTGTACAGGTCCAGAGATTTCTACTGCTAAATTTTTACGATCCGAACAATAATGCGTAGAATGAAGGCAAGTGTTATATCATAATGCAGGATATTTCGCACTTTTATTTCAGTGAAAGCTTTTACTTACGCCCCATTCTCCATTACAAAGTCCGGTATATGCTCCTGCATGCCCCCGCGACTTACAACGCCGTGGACATCGCGGAAGGGGCACGCCATTTCGATCGGGGGCCCCCTGAGTCGACAATTGCTTATAAGTCGGTCATACACCACCAATACCGCACAGTCGGCTCCGTCTTAGCGCGGGCCTGAAAGCCTATTTTCCAAGCAGGGGAAAAGCCGGGCTAACGATTTACATAGGCAGGGCCTCAACGTCTGTCCGGAGCCTACAGTGACCAACAAGGGCCCTGTGCTGGTAAGGGGCCACGATTCCGCCAGAGGCAGCGTTTAAGGAGGCCCGAAAAAGCTGGAGGGCGCACCGGGAGCGACGATCAAGGTTTCGATTGGAGGGCCTAAGGGTAGGAACGGCTAGCCGTAGCCCTATGAAAGGGCCCGGCTTGCAGGGACGGGCCCTCAATGGCAGTTAGAGGCCCTTTGGACTGATCGGGGACCGTCTGATGTGATAGGGGCCTTTATGTCGGCCAGGTACCACCAGTATTGCACAGTCGGCCCCGTGTCTTTATGGGCCTGAGGGCCCACTTCCCAGGCAGTGGCAAAGCCGGGCCAGACATTTACACTTGCTGGAGCCCCTGTATCTGTCTGGGCGCGCAGTGTCTAACAGGAGTCTTGTGGTGACAAGGGGTCCGAGCCGACCAAGGACAGTGTTGGATGCAGAGGCAAGCCCAGGATTTCGTCAAGGGGGCGGGACACACGGCATTGTGGCCCCGTAGAGTGTGGGACCCTCTCCAAAAATATCGGATTCCGGCCATATGATTCTTAAAATAAATAGTTTAAAACACTACATATATACATATATGCATAATGCAGGAACCCACATTCCTGCGCGAAGCCCTAGAAAGCTAGGCGTGTCACGCATGCACACGTATGGAGCTTATCCATTTGGTCCAGATCATAGAAAATTGTGCCATATAAGACCTGCTATTTCGAAAAAAAAGCATGCGAAGTAAACTAAAGCTGGCTGCTTGATGCCATCACAATCAAGCGGGAACTTGATTCTTAGCTTATTTACGCCGAGCCGGCCGGTCGATGTGATTAGGTGATGGCTGATGACTCATGCAGTTTTTTTCCTTTGTTGTGAATGAGTACAAATTATCGTAGCATTCAAAATGCATTAATAACGTTGTGCGCAA